AAAAAAAGGGACCTGCTGCAGGTCAACCCTCAGAGCACCCTGGGAGGTGGCTGGTTAGGAAAAGGCAGGTACTGGCTTGGGCAGAAGGTGGAAGCCTGGTGAGAGTGCTCCGCCCTGCCTGGCGGGCCCCGTGGTGACTGGCCCCCTGGGCCCCTCCCGCAGAGCCAGCGGTCCCTGCTGCAACTGAAGGGCCGAGTGAGTGAGCTGGAGGCCGAGCTGGCCGAGCAACAGCACCTCCGGCAGCAGGCGGCCGATGACAGTGAGTTCCTCCGGGCAGAACTGGACGAGCTCAAGAAGCAACGAGAAGACACGGAGAAGGCTCAGCGGAGTCTGACGGAGATCGAGAGTGAGCGTATGGGGTGCAGGGTGGGGTGGCTGGAGGCTGGAGGGCACAGTGTGGTGTCAAAACGCTAGACTCAGGATTAAGGATGCAGGCCGGCCAGGTAGCCGCAGAGCCCCCTCCCCAACCACCTTCCCCGGCCGGCCTCACATCCTTCTTGAAGAGCAGTTCAGGGATGCAACCCTTGCCACCCTCCCTCCAGATACAGAGCCTGGAGACGCGGAGATGGGAGCAGTATAGGAAGTGGCGAGGAGTATCTGCAGGGATGGGGGCACGCATGGGAGGAGGCAGATCTGAAGAGAAGGGAATAGGAGAAAGCTAACTTAAAAGCTCAGCATCTGGGGGGTGGGGGGGGGAACACGGGTATTTAAAAACAGAGGGAGGCCTGCATTTGTGGGGCCATGTTAGACCCGCAAACGTGGCTTCCACAGAGAGAGACTTCCCAGCCATTGGGGCTGTCCTTAAACAGGCGTGTTTGGGGAGAGGACACGAGGGATGAGTGTGCAAAGAGAAAGGGAGCACGCTCCGGGCCCTGGCTGACTGGCAGGAGGGCAAGGGTCCCAGGCAGAGCAGACCCCTTCACCTGAGTCCTTGACCACACAGGGAAAGCCCAGGCCAATGAGCAGCGGTACAGCAAGCTCAAGGAGAAGTACAGCGAGCTGGTTCAGAACCACGCAGACCTGCTGCGCAAGGTAGGACCCCGGCGCCTCCACCCACCCCAACCCTCCGGCCAACATTCAGGCCCCACAGCACAAGGGAGGTAGCCACGCAGGCCTAGGGCTTCTCCAGGCCCTGTGTCCCTTCCAGCATCTAAGGGGTCAGCTCCACCGCTGCTTGGGGACCACGGCGTTAAAAGCTCCCAGACCTGGACCCCCATGGGTGCAAGAGCCACCCTGCATGGGCTGCGTTCCTGCAGGGCGGAGCGTGGGAACCAGGGGAGTGGTGCCCCCTGGGGGCAGGAAGGGGATTCCCAAGTCTAACTTGGGCACTCACGCCATCACCGCTGGCCCCAGAAGCAGGACGACGTCGTGGGCGCCTGAGTGAGGTAAGCCTGTCCAAGACGCTGCTCTCCCCCTTCAGAATGCCGAGGTGACCAAGCAGGTGTCCACGGCCAGACAGGCGCAGGTGGACTTGGAGCGAGAGAAGAAAGAGCTGGAGGGCTCCTTCCAGCGCGTGAGTGAGCAGGCCCAGCTGAAGGTGAGAGGAGGGCGGGTGGGGAGAGCCGCGGGCCGGGGTCCCTGTCCAAGCAGAGGAAGGCCTTCGGAGCACCACACACAGATCAGAAG